TTTCAAGAAGAAAGCTTTTCAAGCCACTTGAGATGAAAGCGACGAAGATGAAGATGATGATGAAGACGGAAACAAAAGCCAAGAAGAAATTGCCAACATGTGTTTCATGGCTATTGATGGTAAGGTAAATTCAAATGAAAACTTCTATGAGCTCATCAATCAAGTGGACAAAGGATGATAAAGGTACTTCTATAAGCATAACAAAATATCGAGGTACGATCTCTTCTCTACTTAATTACAAGTAAACTCGATATTATAGTTAGTATGTGATTATGTGCTTAATTTCAATTCAATACTCATGAATCATACACATGTGCCTCTAAACAAATCTTAGATATTTTAATGTCATTAAAACATTATGTCTAAAATATTCTAAAGGCACCCAAAAGTTAGATAAATTATAATTTATGAATTCAATTATCATTATGAATTTTGTGAGTTCAATTATTGATCTATTATGAATTGTGAAAATATGATTGCTACTATAAATTATAGTGATGTGATCTATTATGCTAATGAATTGTGAAAATACACGTCTTTAGAACATTATGCTATATGATATAAACAAAAATTTGGTTCTCATTGATGTGCACAAGAAAAGGGGGAATGTTGAAAAAGGGAAACACAAACTCTATTCAAATAAGTTTACTTTCAACATTTCATCACTCAAAATTTGATTAACATTTTACCATCAAGTGATGATTATTCTTAAATTTGTATATACTCGACATCTTGTGATCAATTGAGGGGGAATATATTACTATGGTTGATTTAAAATTTTGATCTTATCATCCTCTCATATGTGCTATCATTTTGCTTATAAAAGAATTTGAATAAGATAAATTTGAAAAGCTTTGAAAATGAAATGTTTATTATTTTCTATAATCATCTTTTGATCTTAAATGTCATATCTTTTTGCTTATGTCAAAAAGGAAAAATGAAGTGAGATGATTATGCATGTTTTGATATGATATTTTTTGAATATATGATTATGCATGCCTTGATATAATATGCTTTTGAATATAAGATCATTGATTTGTAAAAGATATGGGGAACATAAATTGCATGATAAATTTATTCCTTTATCAATATGATATCATTATATTCTTATGCTATAATTAACTTCATTATCGTATATCTTTTTGCTTATGCCAAAA